AATGAACGAAAGATTATATTTTCACAAATAGGGTAAAGACAAAGTTGATAACTTTTAAAAGTATGTAAGTCATTTTCAATAATTTCGAGTTATCTTAAATGATTCTCGAAATTCATAGACCTTTAATTATGTAAAGAGTATTTTCGTTCATTCGTTCGTTGTAGAGGAACTGGGCGTCTGAGGTCTTACGGCCCTTTTCCCATTCATCCTGAAATTAGACTAAGAAACATACATGACAAAAATAAAGTTTGGAGAGCAAAATGGAGTTCGTGAAAGGAAAAAAAATGGCACTTTGCCATTATTAGGTAATAACAAAATTACAAGTAATAAAAATTACATGAAAAAAGGTAAAATTTAAGTACAAGGGAAAAATAAACACTAATGAATATTTACAGTATTTACAGTTTGGAAATACATGCAAAATGGGAATGTGAGGATGTGTGTATAAGTGTAAGTAAGTGTGGCTCTGTTAAAGTAGAGACCCGGCCTTAAGCGTATTTTCGGCAGAGAGATTTAATTTATATACATTTTTTAAACTTTTTAGCTACCGTATGATTCCTACGAGTTTTAAAATATTTTAAAAATAGTACGGAAGAAAACGGAGCTCGATTATTTAACACATAATTTGTGAAAGAAAATATATTTGCGTAAAAATACTGCTCAATCACACCTTTAAGTGATCCGTAATCCGTAACTTTGAAAGAATAAATAAATTAAAAATGAATAAATCTGTGCCCAAAATAAGTAAATTAAAAATAAAGAGAAGAAGACATTTATTTTAATATTAACGTAGATTTACTACCACCATTAAAAAATTTTAAAGCTTGAGCATATATAGGCCGGGATAGCCTGGTTGATAGGACACTGGGTTCGATTCCCGCTGGCCGAAGACGAAGTGTTTTGCAAGAAGTGTAGTAAATGGTGACTGGTGCACGTTAAATCTGTTGGGTCACAAAGTCTTGCATATTCCCATAACAAATCAATATCTCTGGGGGTACTGATCCAGGAGATCCCTTGTCTTCCGGATTGGGATCAAAATTACAAGGATACGGAGTTGAACACTGCCAGTCGTAGACCTAAAATTGGGTTCGCTACAGTTATATATAAGAAATAAAAATAATAAAAACCTGAACTTAGCTACCAACTCTTCCGGATTTTGGGGATGATATTATTTTTAAATTTGTATTTCGAATGCTGCAGGAAGTGGTACTAAAATTTACTTTTAAACTGTATAGTTATTTTTTTGCTATTTACGACTTTTGTTTTAAGAAATTACAATTGCACTCCATTCAGGTTTAATGATATTGTTTTAAATTAACAACTTCTTGATGGTAATTAGTGTATTTTTCTTTCTTTTTTTTTTCTTTCTTTTTTTTGTAGCCGTAAACTTAAAATTGGGTTCAACAACGGTTATAAAATTAAATAGTTCATACAAATTGCAAAACTCAATATTGAAAAGGAACTTAATTCACTAATTATCGAATAAATATTTTTGAAACAAATGTAATATTGTAATATGTTTCAGAAGGATTATTCACGAAAACAAGTCATTCTAGCTGCTTAGAATTCTTTTTATTATTTTATTTCATTTACATATGTTGCCTTTTGTTTTATTCTGTATTTAATTTTCTATCTCTACCACTTGTCTGATGCATTGAGTTTTCAGTTTTTCGAAACATTCACGCGACATGCAGTGATGTTCTTACGGGATTAATGTCGCTTACCTGCAAGAATCATAAACGTTTTGCTGGATAAGTTTTTGAGCAAACACCTTAACCTTTCCCAGAAGATCTGTCACACCTTTAGCACATTGCCATCCATTTGGTTTTTCTCAATTGGCGAACAGACTTTTAAAAAAATCCAAAAAGGTAAATAAAAAAAAAGTTAAAGCTTATAGGAAAACAGCTTCCAAAAGAATTTGTAAATAATCTGTTGGAGAATACGAATCCTTTGATAGCTGTCATTTTAGTTTTTACTTCACGAAGACGCCTACACCAAAGTCATAAGGTCCCCTCTCATCAAGTAGTGTCTTTGGCAGAGTTTTGGCGCAACATCTGATTGAAGTGACTGAGATGATCCATGAATTGTTGTTCATTTAAGCTTGACCTTTGGTTAGTAGAATGGGATCTTAGCTAAGCATCCTCAGCGTGGGTTTTGGACACATCTAAAGGGTCACCAGAAGAATTTGTGAAGTCATTTTTTGCCCTCTGCATGGTTTCTCTGAAAGAATATGGCAGTAATTGGACATCGGGTGGAAATAGCTATTGAGGAAGAATGGTTAGAAAATATGTTCTCCACAAATCTTCCTAACTCGATTTTTTTTAATGCAACAGTAAAATGAAAATTTCCTCAAAAGGTGATGTCTTGTTCAAAAACCTTAACTCGGTCAAGATTTTTTTTAATGCAGAAATTTTTGTTTTAAAGGAATAGTTTTGGTGAGATAATAATTTTTAGGATGGATGTTCAATGCAATATTTTCTGAAAATTATTTGCAGATTTTCAGAATTTATTCAACATACTTTTTTCTAAATAAAGGAGAAACTTAAAACTTAATTCAAAAATATTAAAGAATAACATTTAATTTAATTTTATATTTGTTATTACTAAAATTTTTGTATTTTTATATTTGTTTTATGATTGTTTTTTTATTTATTTGCTTATTTTAATCTGTTTTTTTTTAAATTTATTTATTACATTATTATTTGAAATAAATGAAAATGCAAAAGATGCTTTTTCAATTGAGATTGAAAGCACAAACGCATAAATAAGCTATGTTCTAAAATAAGCTATGTTTTAAAAATTAAAATTAAAAGAGAAATGGTACTAATTCATTTAGGAGTTGAATATCCCATCATGTTTCATCATGTTATCCCAACAGCTGAATCAATTTTGGGTTTACGACTACCAATGTTCAACTGCGTATCCTTGTAATTTTGAACTTGAACCCAATCCAGAAGACAAGGTAACTCCTGGATCAAGTATTGAGAGAAATTTGCCTTCGTGGAGGAATTTTTGATGGAACTAACCCACATTTGCGTTACATGGGGAGGAAAACCACGAAAATATCCCACGGTTAGCCTGTCAGCTTATTTTTTCTGGTTTATAAGTTAGCCTATTAACATGTTACCCTTAATTTGTGCACTGCATGTCTTCATTTTTTACCAATATTTTAAAAATACATGTTAAGTGTCAATTAATACAGAGGACCCAATTAATCTAAATAAAGTTAACGCATTGAAAAACAGAATTTATGAAGTGAATCGATAACACTATCTTCATAAAACTAGTTTTTTGCGACCACAGACAAAGAATATTATAGTAAAAAATTAGCTTAATCTAAGATACCAGTGGCAAAATGTGCGAATATAATATCGCTAACACATAAAAATTTAATGCTGTTTAAATTTAAGTTTAATTAATTCTAATTAATGCTGTTTAAATTTAAATTAAATTTAAGTAATTCTATACAACGACTTAATAAAAAAAAAACGGAATAACTCCCTATACAGTTTAGATTTTTATCACGTTCCCTCTGTTGATTTTTTTAATTTTATTAGAATCAAAATTAGTTGTGTCTTAAATTGAAGTCTCAACAATTTCCCATCTTTGTTCATTTGCTTTTTTAAAATAAAAAGGAAACTTGATGAAAAATATATCTGCAAATGATATAGTAATTTGTAGCTCCTGATGCCGTACTGGGGGGGGTGTAACCGGTTCGATTAAATAACATACACACAATCAATATACTAATGCACTATTTCTGGAATGAAAAGAACAGCATTATAACAAAATTTCAATTAGAATACAACTTTCCCGGAATCATAATAACTCACCAATATCATTCAGCATGATTAAGTTGAAATTTCATCAACAATACACTCTTTTTTTCAGTATTATTTCGTTTTTAACGGTAAAAAAAAAAAAGTTCCCATCCTGAATTTTTTTTCTTATTTGAATAAATTACACGAGAAATTGCTTCAGTTTATATAGATAGTAGACCTACTATCCCTGATGAAATCTTTGCATGGAAAAATATATTCTTGCAAAGAAATTTCCTAAGAGGGCACACCCTTGGATCCAATTTAAACTACTCTCACCCACACTGAAGAGCTTCTGACAGATATATTACGGTCAAATGACTTCTAAATTTATATCTTTGCACCGTATGTATCCAAGAAGGGCACCAAATCCCACACCCTCGAAAGTAACAAGTGGTCACATTAAAAAAGTATTTCCATTATTCAATTCCAGAATGGTCTTACACCCCCGCAATGAGTGACCATGCCCAGGTGAAAATTATTTCAAATTACGTATTTAGTGTTGTGCTTTGAACTAGAACAGATTTATATTTTTTCTTGAATTATATGTATTTATATGCGTTAAAGTGTTGAAGAATAGACTTGGAATGAGAATAATAAATCGGTACTGTTTTCATTATCACTTTATTGAAGAATAGGAAACTTTACATAATTAGATCGTAACTATTACGATCGTATCTGTATTTATATGCGTTAAAGTGTTGAACAATAGGCTTGGAATGAGAATAATAAATCAGTACTGTTTTCAATGTCACTTTAGTGAAGAATAGGAAACTATACATAATTTGAACGTCACTATGACGATCCTATTTGTATTTATATGCCTTAAAGTGTAGAAGAATAGGCTTGGAATGAGAATAATAAAGTTTTCAATATCACTTTAGTGAAGAATAGGAAACTATATATGTGATGTTGCTACATCACACGTTCAATTGTTGTACAAGTAGTTTTATGCAATTTTCTACAGTCTTTTGTAAAGCCAAAATAGCAATAATAATAATTTTTAAAAAACTGAAATTTATGTGACCATTCTAATACAGTTATATAAATTAAGTAACAAATGTATGTGTAAAAGGATTTGAAAATTATTTTTTGATAATTAATTTTTAGTAATTTTGCATTTAATATTTGCATTTAAAATGATAATCAAGTTTATTGTGTATAACCAAGAACTACACATTGTTAGTGTTTGATAATTTTTGCTGCTATGTTTAATTTGTTTTCCTTATTAGCTTTCATTTTGCGATTCTGAAACCAAATCTTAATTTGCCTTTCTGTAAGGCCAAGTGTATGAGCTATTTTAACTCGACGTTTTCTTATGAGTTAACTAGTAAGATGGAATTCTTTTTCCAATTCTAAAGTTTGATATTTGGTGTAGGCTTGGCGACTTCTCTTTCCTGGATTTGTATCTGAATGTGGTTTCATCCATGGAAAAACGTTTTTTGTCGTAATAGTCTGTGCTTTTGTTCAACTTCTGGGGATGTACTTACCCCAGCAGGTCCCCTGTTGTTTTCTGACACTGGTGTAACTACAGAAGGTGGAACATTAAATTGGACTGACTTCGGTGGGGTATAGGATGGTGACATTTTACAGTCAAAATCACCCTTTTCCGCAACACTTCCCGCATTCATTAATGTAGATCTGTACTGTACAATACCAGGATTCTGTTGTCCGTAAAACGTTTGATTGAATTCTCCAATTTCATTAGGATTATGAGAGACTGTTGAATTTGATAAGTTTCCATATCTTGGTGTTACACGATAGCTCGGCAAGTCATACGGGGGTGTTTTGCCCGGTTGCGGGAGTGTTAAATTGCTCGGCATTTCAAATCTTGGTGCTGTATATTCCTGGTACCTCTGGTACTGAGGTCTAATGGTCAGGGTCTTGACTTCTACTGAAGTAATCGGCCAATTGATTTTTTGAGCCAGCTATACATTTTACTTCATATGTGAATTCTGACAACTGAAGAAACCAACGGGGTTATAATATCAGCAGGAGATGTTACCTTCTTATAATGAATCAAATGTTTGGAGTCAGTGAGGATAGTAAACTTTTTACATGCCAAATAGTGTTTAAATGCCATTACTGATCTATAAATAGCATAAAGTTCAAGTTTTATAGGGGGGTAATTTCGTTCTGATTGGGATAAACTTTTACTAAAGTAAGATATGGGTTTATGTTGACCATTAAATTCTTGCATTAGAACTCCTGAAATAGCAGTACCACTGGCATCAGTATTGGGGATGAACTGCTTACCCCATTGGGAAATGTGTACAAAAGGCTCAGAGAAAAATATATACTGTAATTGATTAAAAGCATTTTGATGCTCCCCTTTTCATTGAAATTTTGAGTTTTTTAAGGGTTAATTGAATTAACACATTGGTTATTGGAGCATAATTAGGAATCAGGTGGATTAAGCATAATTAGGTAAGTTGAGCATAATTAGGAATCAGTTGAGCTTAATTAGGAATCATTTGATCATAATTAGGAATCAGCAACATCACACTATAGTGTGATGTTGTATCAAATCACACTTGGTTTTTTAAAACTAGTTTCAGCATTTCTCGAACGAAATGTAAACTATCTAAATTAAATCAGCGTAATTTTCTCAGTTTTGGTAAATTTAGCCGTGATGGCATTTTAACATTTTAAGTGATTGATTGATTTTTTTTGTATCGATTCTTTTATGCTTAATGGTGACCGAGAGGAGGTTTACTCTTTTTCACGTCCCTTCTGGGCGTCACTTGATGAAACCACCACCTACGTCGCTGTTAAAAAACGACTTTTCTCTCGTCTTAAGATTTTAGGCGGTCGTCTTCTTGTCGTGTATCTCAGATTTCACCTTTTTTTGTTAAGTATAAGATGGTTTATGCATTTTCAGATTAAAGTTTAATAATTAAATTTAAAATAACATTTTGTTTATTCAATATAAATTTAGTCTGATTAAGATGCACAGCATGGAAGGCGACACGTGCTCCTGTCGCCAATAGTTGGCGAGTCTCCATGGCAACCGAGTCTCCCAAATATCTATCTATTATATATAATTCTCTTACGTGGCTCCCAAATTTTGGCTGTATTTCTTTTCTGCCGGTGGCAACGTTTGCTTTGTTTTGAAAACACCAAAGCATTCTGCCTTTTAATTATGTGTTTCTGATCTAATATATATAATTCTCCTTCGTGGCTCCCAAATTTTGGCTGAAGTACTTTGTACAACTAAATAAGATTCTTTTCACAACAGTTAAATATTTACTTTATTTTCTTCATTCATAGAGAAAACAGTCGGCCAAGAATTCTGTTAGGTTAAAAAACATTTCACTAAAAAAATAACGAATTCTAAAAGAAATAAAAATAAACAACTTAAAAAATAAAAATGCTG